AGAATAAAGTATTTAAATCGTGGAGTAAAATTTACTTAAAGTAATAGTTGTGTCCTAAGTGGCAATCCAAACAAGCCCTCGGGCTAATGCCCACTCAAGTCACGAACGAAAAGGTCCGCCAAATTTAAAAGGTTCGGAAACTTTTGAAACGCCATCAAAAACTTAGGTGGTTGTCTAAGATCAAAGAAAATTGTAGAGCGATCAAAAAGATTTTGAATTATATATTTAAAATCTTTTAACGTAACTCAATGCTTTAAAAAAGTCTGTTTACATCAACAAAATTTTATTTTAAAAATGGTCGATCTTTATGAGTCCTTAAAAGACTGTCTAAGATCAAAGAAAGTTGTAGAGCGATCAAAAAGATTTTAAATTAAAAATGTAAAATTCTTTAACGTTACTCAAAGCTTTAAAAAAATCTGTTGACATCAACAAAATATTATTTTAAAAATGGTCGATCATCATGAGCCCTTAAAAGTGGTCATGAGCTTCTGCCATTGTAAGGAGGATACGCCCTTGGGTGTATTGACAATCGTAGTACTAAAACCTTTGAACTACATTTAGACACTACTTACCTGTCGCTGGTCTAGGTATTTTACGTCTGACGTAAACAAGTTAATAAAACTTGCCAAGTTACAAATTCAATATCATAGGAGATAACAAATTGAAGAATGTTGCATATACCTATACTAGAAGGTTTCTGTGACTTCGTCAACGGTCACAGGATCTAAGGAGGGGCCTGCAGCTGGTAGCGCAGACCTACGCTCGACCGCCGCTTCAACCACCGCAAGGTGAGCGGGATCTATGGGTTCGCTAGAAGGAGTGCATTGGCTATCTTTACTGTCCGCGAGGCATTCGGCTTTTTCAGAGTTGTCAAAGGCGATCGGGGTATTAATGTGTGTTAAATTTGACGCTTTCACTTGTATACCTAATGTTATTATATAATTTTTTTCCATTTATCTCATTTTTATTTTACATTAGGTACTTTAAGAAATTTCTTTGCTCTGTGAATGTCATGCGATAGCCGTTTTAAACTATGCCTAAATTTAGGATATAGCTACTTCAAGCATGTTTTTATGGAGACTAATCTCTTTAGATGAAAAATCTTTACGTTAAAATACTTTAAAAAGGTATAGAAGTAAAGAGTACGTAAATTGGTTAAAACTTTTTTTTTGAGATGTATTTAGGCCGTATTTTTTGGGCTCAAGCCTCCTTATAATTTCTGAAATGGTTATAGAGTTAGGCCGCATTTGGACATGAAGATTTCCTCGCGAAGTTTTACTTCACAATATGCACGTGGCAAATCAGTACATGCTTATAATTGCGGTTAGCCTTTTAATGGTACCGGCGAAGATCGCACTCGGGTTGCGCGCATACTATGTTTACGACGAACGCTTAACTCCTGAACTACCGGGGTTGCAATTTATTAAATTTAATATAATAATTGATACGCACAACGTAATTGTTGATGTACATACTACAGACCGATTACCCTTCTAAACCGTGCCTATATACTATTTCTAGCATTTTTTTATTATGAATTATCTCGCGCATAGGCTTCCAGTCTCCCGTACAAGCTAGTTTTTCGAAAAGGCTTTAGTACCATAAATCACATATATAACTTTTGGCAAACTGCACTGAAGAGTACAATCTACCACTTTGTCTTGCTGTGTATGTGTGTGTGCTACCACTTTGTCTTGATGTAGTTTATGAGATAGCCTTTGATTTCGTCAAAATATGAGAGGTGCGGTGCCAGTTAGTGATACCAAGTTAACTGTCAGTAAATCGAAGTGCTGAAGTGATTGAACAGTAGAGCTATGACGGCTATCCGAGCACAGAACCATAGTAACGAATCTATGAATCTACGAAACCTATTTAGCTGCTGTGAAGAGTAAAACAGGGTAATGTTATTTATATCCCCGTCATTCTTTACCACTATGTTGGGGTAAGTTTTCAAGCTACTAGATTGGAAAGGATAATCACATCAATATCAATGGCGAGTACATCACTCACCTTCGATTTGCTGACGATATAGTCGTTATGGCAGAATCATAGAGAACCTCAGCATTATACTCAATAACCTCAATAGTGACTTTCAACCGATAGGTCTTGATATTGCGAATCGATGGAAATGGTGTGGAACGCGATTTTATTTAAATAATTGTGGACTGTATTTGCAGTTTGATTTTGCGACCAACACAATGTGGAGTTACGGATCGTTGTACCCACCTGCTACGACTAGCAAAGAGTCTCGTACTTCTCAGGCTTGATTCCAACGATGCACTCTATGTTGTGGTCACTATTACACTTATTTAACACAGTTCACGGCTGTTATTTTAAGTTTATGATATTCTAAACCGATAGTGCGAAGCGATGACTGCGACGAGGCAATGTATCGTATGGATAGAGTGTGCGCTAATTGTCTATCGACTACTGGCTGCCATGCAGGCAGGGCCCGAACAGTGAGCTGGTCGCAATTGGAGATTATGATTATGATTCAAATGAATGAAAATGAATGAAGGGGCCTAGAGAAAATATTGTTTTCAGTAAGCAATAGTTTGAAAAGTGGCGGTAACAGGTCTTAAATAAATATGAAAAACACAAAGGTTATGTATAAAGTTCATGTTACACCAATACCGATACCAGGCGGAGTGTAAGTGAGTTTTTCATTTCAATTTCTTTAAATAAAAATATACTTAACTAATGTAGAGTCAATCTACTATTGTTGAGCTTGCACACAACGAAACAAAATTAGATAGTAACATTCATTCTAGGTGGTATGAATACTTTTCTTTCGAGGAGTCCGCCTAGCTAGGCACCTATTTCTGCCCCCAAAGTAGTGCTTCGTTTGTTTCGATTTGAAGGGTAAAGAGAGTCAGTTTAATAACAGTCTGTGAGTCGTTCCATCTTTGTCCTCAGGATTAGAATCTGCAGCTTTCTCTGTAATAGGTCCTTACATATGAAATTAGCGTTTTGTCGTACTGACCACTTTAATCTGAAATATAATATCCTTCTTTGGTAAAGAATTCCAAATTCAAATTTGTAAATTCATTTAGCTGGTATATTTGAGTTTTGAAAACCCTCATTCATTCGTTTATTGAAAAATTTATTTATTTGTTTTTCCTCATTATTTTTTTTTCTTTGGGGTCGCCTTTGACCTGCAGTGACTGCTTGCGATCAGGCGGCTGTCCCTTTGTCATGTCAGTTTTATACATAAATACATTTTATTAATTCTTATATACAATTTTTTACTATATAATTTGTATTTATATAAATATTATATATTTTTTTCAAATTTTATTCATTAAATCTTTTCGAATTCAATTGAAGCAACTCGAAAAATAATCACGTACGTGTTGATACTCGCGCAATGTAGCTTTTGTTGTGCTGGTATCTTTAATATTTTCTAATATTTATATGCTACAGTATTTGTAAATGCTACAGCATTTTATAATTTTATTCGAAAATTTTAAGTAAGTTCTCTTTACAGAATGTTCACATTCATTACTTAAAAGTTAATGTAGGAGGGACAGGTAGTTGGCTGGTTTAAAGCCAGACCTAAAGTCTATAAAGCCCCTTATTAATTTAAATGCCTTTTATAACTATGCCTTGTAAAACTATAAGAATAAATGAAATTGGCATACTTTGTGACATCAAGCTAATTTTTGATTTGTTTGCAAATAAATTAACGAGATAAATACTTCAATCAAATAGAATTATTTATTTTTATATAGACTGTATATATGTATATATAAATAGAGTGTGTATGATATATATATATATATATATATATATATATATATATATATGATAGAAATTTAAACATAAACAATAATCGTGTAATATAAACTATAACGAATCTTCATCATTAACTTATAATAAGATTTTTTTTAATTTGCGAGCATAGAAGTTATGCGTGAACATTTATTCATTTTATCATAACTAAAAGGATTATCTGATAATATGAGAAAGTAGATAAACATGTATTTATATTAAGGGTTTTTAATATGGTAGCGAAATTATATAAATGCATGCTGACTGTATAAAAGAAAACATCAACATTATCTTCTTTATGACTTTTCCTTTATTCTGAGGAAATTAACACTTTTTAATATAGCAAAAATTGTTATTGTTCCTTTTTAAAAGTCAAACGCATACATTTAAGAAATCTCTTTGTTTTAGTACTACAAAAAAGTCTAAATAAATTTATAAAAGACACGTCAATTCCACTACAAAATCCAGCAAATTACCTATACTTTTATTAAGTATACCTGGTAATCTAATTCCGACCCTCTAAATCTAAATCAACCTTAGTTTAGCGCTGATACGAATGACGAAAGAAATAAATATGATTCATTGCTTCGGAAACTATCAGAGCGAAGTCTACTAGAGGGAGGAGGGAGGGCCTAGAATAGTAATGAACGAAACTTGCTACATACGAGCCAAAAACGAATTTCTTATCAGATTTAGGGGAGACTATAAGGCATTTGTAAAGTAGGTTAATAAAGGACTTTGCGAGGTACTTTTTCGTAAGCAGTGTAGTTTAGGCAAAGAACGTGAATCATCAATTACCGAAAACATGTTTTTTTTTTTGGTTTTGATGTTTATACTAACTAACTTTAAAATATGTTGATTTTTATATTTTATTTGTGCTTTGCTAATAAAAGAAGCGCGAAATTATAATTTGAAGATAAAAGTGGTGAACTATCTATTTACAGATTTTTTTTTACAATTAAGTTTTTGACATTTGACAAGCTTTATTTTAGAGTTCAGTGACGTTTATAGAACAATATGCTTCCATACAGGAAGTAAAGAGCATGATCGGGTTAATTTTAGTTTGTTTAGCACTCCAATTTTATTAAAAAAACTCAAACAATTTTATTGAATAATTCAGAGGTCATGGAATATTAATTATACAGGACAACTATGGCGTGCACTTATAGCAAATTTCAAATTGTATATAAATACAGAAGTAAAATGAACTATCAATTTTTAATACATACCATCTGGAACGTATACATTCAAGTAAAGGCAGTCTTCAGAAAATTCTTTCTTTCTTGGTTCCTCCATCTGAGACTCCAGAAGATCCATAAACAATTCATCGTGTTTATTTAAAGGATTTTGTACATCTTCTTTTTTAGGATCACTTTGCATGCAGTCCGGTGCATACATTGTAGCATTCTTTACACCCTCCCATTGGGGTAAGTCCGTATATTCTGGAGCTGTAAATCGTCTAAAATCAACTGGCGGCTGTGCGTATGGAATGCCTATATAAGCAGCTATTCTTTTAGTACGAAACCTTGTTATATACATTCCTGATATAGTTCCTTGGTTGGCCAAATTAATCTGTTTAGGTTCCCTAGCTGATAACACTGCGGTCGTAAACAATATAAACACTACTGTATGAATCATTTTAGACCCAAATAATAAACAACTTTATTTATCCTCTATTGAGTTCCCGTATTTAATTTAAATAATTTATGTATTTTTAAAGTTAATTTTCACGGCTAGATTTTCCTAGTTCGTTTAAAAATATTAACATTTTAAAATTTGAAAATGTATTTTAAAATGTGATAAAACTTCGTCCGAAATTATCCGTGGTGGGTGTGCGGGCTCGAAGGTGGTGCGTTACTGTTTCTCGTGCAGACTTTGGCTCGTAAACAGTGGGGCTATCCGTCGTTATAGCGACCAAGGAATTGCTTTAGTGTGCTGAAACTAGCATAGAAAGGACAGATTAAAACAAACAATACCAGACACTTGTGCTGCGATTCTGCTAACTTTTAAATAACATTTTTGTGAGCTTCCATAAAAATATGTTATTTTTAAAAATTAATATAATTTCTTGCTAATTTAAACGGTAAGTGAATTAAATTATGAGATCAAATGCAAATAATATCGAGTAAATTTTGACAATATCTAGCAAACCACTTAAACTTTCATCAACACATTACACCAACACCCTTTTTGATGAAGGTCTTTCCAATAATTTGTAAATAAAATTTAGAAGGTTTGTCCTTATGGAAATATTTACAGTGCATGAGCGAACCGATAAGTGATTATTTATATTCTTTACCAGCCCGTTAAGTAGAAGTTGCACATGTATCTAGACCCGCAACAATTACATGTAGGTTATACAAGCTCTTTTCCGTGCAGAATTTGAACTTGCAGTCCTCAACGCCACAGCTAAACGCCAAAGTATATTTTCGAATTGGGTTTAATCCCTTTTTACTTAATATATATGTCAAATTTTATAAACCAACTCTATATATTCCTAGGTCTAAAACAATAGGCAGTAAGCTTGCGACGCGAACAGCTCGCGTGACTGTAAGCTTAGCTTTGAAGTCATTGTATTCGGTTCGGTTTTTGCCTCCTTTTTTACTTCGCATCATCTTCCCTTATATAGGTCAATGCGACTATTGATTAATATATTTTATAGGATAAGGTGACAAACGAGCACACAGTCCACCTGATGGTAAGTGGTTGCTGCGGCCCATGGACATACACTACATCTATCTTCGAGTACAAATCAAAATGCAGATGCGTTGTCACCCGTGAGGACTAAGATAGAATGCCTCGTTTCCAGTAAAAAGGGTCTGCGGTTCTCTACATTCGACATACGAAACACAACAGCATTAAGCTCCTATTTCACGCTGGTATTCTGTGAGAGCGAGGTCCTTCCCCGGTCGAGCTGACTCATTCGTGCTACAACTATACTACTAATATAACTGCAGCATGACTCTACCACATATAAATTCACACAAGTTAATATTATATGCACGCTTTAAAAAGGCTGTGAAATTAACTACCATTATTGTCGATTAGATTCTCGTTGCAGCGTAATTTCACTATATATTTTATTTCAGAAAAATCAAAATATTATATTCAAACTATATCGTCATCTACATAAAGTAGTTTATTAAAGAGACTGACAAACAAAAGACATTTTTGGTCATTGGTATAGAGCAAGTTATATATTATTATAAAATCCACTCATAACACTTGTCACGGAAAATAACTTTTGAAATTGCCATTCTGATCAACAAATGACAATCTTCAATCACGATACTTCAACGCGAGTTGTATTGCATCAGATTACTCCGACATATGCAGTTTTTCAGCATAATTTCCTGAATTGTCCCTGAAGATGACAGGTTAGTTAGTTAGCAAATGACAAGTGACTCCTATTAAAGATTATGGTTTTCACCTAGTGGTTACAGCATATGTCAATAACCTGGAACAACTTCAAGCAGAAAAAAGAAGGCCATGCCTGAAGGCGGATGCTTCACATCTATGGTCTTCTTTTTTTAACAAAACATCAGATTAACACAATTTAAAATTTTAATATATAAATATTACTAAAGTCATAAGCTTTGCTTATAACCTATATTATTAATGAAAAATCGATAAATTGATATAATTAATAACAAATATCTGAAAAAAAAAATAACGAACTCGATAAAATATAAACAAGTTTTAATAATTTTTTTTGTGAAATAAGCATGAGAAACGAGCACACAGTTTACCTGATGGTAAGTGGAGTGTGTGTCCCATGGACATCTATCCTCGATTAAGAATCAAAATGTAGATGCGTTGCCACCCCTGAGGATTTAGTTGGAATGCCACGTTTTCAGTAAAAAGGATCTATACTCACCATACGAAACACAGCAGCATTGAGCTCCTATTTCACGCTGGTTTTGATTATTTGGCTGGATTATTCTACGCTGGTATTCTGTAAAAGCGTGGTAATTCTCCGCTCGAGCCGACCCATTCGTTGTTTTCATGGATCGATTCGACTGTCGTTTGAATTATTTCTAGCCAATAGTTATTGTTTAAAGTTAGTTGCAGATGTCCGTGGGCAACAAGTCACTTATCATTGGACATTGCTGGCAGCTATTTCGTCGTTTTAAGAAATATTTTAGACTACAATATATTGTTATATTATGTAAAAAAATTGCCATTCGTCAATGTCTCCGAAATGCTAACCGATTAACTGAAATTAAAATTTTGCTCGAAAGGCTTTAATTTTCTGTTAAAATGATTATTTAAATAGTACAAATTGCACGAAATTAATTTTATTAATTAAAGCGCGTTTAATATAAAATAATTTTAAAATTAATTCGCTTTGCAGAATACAGCTATACGAAAAAACGTTAACATTAACGCGAAACCTTCAGAAAATCCGCAGTATGTGAAAATGTTCAGGATCGTCCCCGCCTTTACATCGGAAATAATAGACCATAAATCTTTGCATAAAAATACTTATTCCAACAAAGGAAGAAAGGAGAGAAGACCATAGCATATCAGCGTATGACTTTAAGATATAGCTTTTTCATGCAATTTTCTAAAAATAAGTCCTAGCTAGATCGATTTATTGCCCCCGAAACCCCCCTTAACACTTAATCTTATGAAAATCGTTGGAGCCGTCATATATATATATATATGCTAGTTTAAAGGTATAAGATAGATTAAGTAGTACATAACCAAAAAAAATTGCATTCATTAAAGTTATTTTTGTCATTTAGGTAATCGTCAACTAAGTAGTAGCTTTTATTAATTAATATTGATTTATATATGTATTTTTGGTACCTTGTCTCAGTCTGACATATATAATTGAAATATAATACTGGTAACCAGAGCTTAATAAATCTTAAGACGTTGAACACTTAATTTCTCGACTATACGTGCCACATAGCATTGGAAACCAAGAGATTCAAAAATATGTTAAATTTAAACGCAATAAAGTTTATAAAATTTGAAATTGGCCATTAATACCTAAAAATCTAATTAACATTTAGTGGCGTCTGCGCTCAGGCAAATAAAAAGTGAGATGCCTCCCTGATTAGTTGTTAAGGCTGATGCAGATAGCTTATTTTTATTACTTTAATTAAATAAACATCTTCTGAAACGAAAACATTACGAAATATTTTATTTTATATTAGTATTAAGTTCGAAAATATTGAGATAATACCCAAATTGCCAATAAAGCGTCACGTTTAATATGATGTAGTATTATAATTTTAAAACACGCAAAGGCTCTAAATAAAAGTTTTATACAACATTTTATTGTTTTCATTATTTATGCTGGTGTTCTAGTTTATTTTACTATAGTCATATACCAAAATAATATTATGCCGTCAGTATTAATGCAACACTTGTAGTGAATACATTAGTAAAAAACCAATAATCTGCATCTATTCTGAAAAAGAGTTGTGTGCATCTGACCACCGAAATTCTATAATTGCAATTTATAAAACCATAGCTTAAATGTATCGTTACGTTATACACTTTCAACCATAATAATATTAAACCAATAATAACTTATTCTAACGTATGATGTTAGAATAAGTTATTATTGCTTTTTATTACTTCTCTCATCACCTTGCCATAGAATAGCTGGCAGAGAAGGTTATTTCGGCATTGAGTTCGCTTCTGTACCAATTACTTTGTAGACAATAAAGAATTTTCTACCTTAAAAATTTAAAATTGTGAAAGAAAGTTAAAACTCATTAATATTAATTATTATGCATCAACTTTTTGCATTTATTTTATAGTATTCGTTACAGGTTTTTATACAATAAGGTGTTACATTTTTTAGGAGGGGGCAAACGATCATACGGCTCACCTGATGGTAAGTGATTATCGCTACCCAGGAACAGCTGCAACATCAGGGGGATTGCAGATGCGTTGCCGGCCTTTAAAAAGGAATAGGCCTTTAAAAATAATAAGTTTATATAATAAGGGTGACAAAGGAGCACACAGTCCACCTGATGTTAAGTGGATGCTGTGGCCCATAGAATTCTACAACTATCTTCAAATAAGAATCAAAATGTAGAGATGTGTTGTCACCTACGAGGACTAAGATTGAGTGCTTCGTTTCCAGTAAAAGGGGTTTCCGGTTCTCTACACTCACCATACGAAACACAGCAACATTAGAATGTTATTTAGCGCTAGTCAAGCCGATCCATTCGTGCTACAGCCATAACATAGTTGCAGCGTGGCTATACCACATAAAAGTTATAATATTATATTGGGGATTGCTTATTTTCTTTTAAGTTTTTGTATTTTGCAATAAAGGTGCTATGTCGCAACATTTATTATGGCTCACTTGATAGTTTTGTGTGAGTGAAACAGGTAGCCGCATTGTCTTGCAATCTAGAAATTTTGTAGTAGTTAAGAAATGAAGTTTATTATTGATTTATTATTTCATTTTTAATATTTTCGTAATTACTAGTGTTAAAAATGGCGTGGCACATGTTTTTAGATTGTCGTTTCTCTTTGTCGTGTCTTTGTTGTTGTCATATAACATAAGTTGT